TGTATTTTGCATTTGTATTTAATTACAAATTGGGTAATGCATTTGACGTGTGTATTTAAATACTAAAACGTGGGTATTTCAAATACAATTGTAATTAAATACAATTTTGTAGGCGAAAATACATCCCTCAAATGTATTGTCACTCTCCAGAGCAGGAAGAAAACTACGTTCTGATCCGAATGCAGTGTCTCTCAATCAAGTACAAGCGTTTAGTGACTTTATGATTACGGTGCTAGTCCAGGGCAAGAATAGCGGCAAAATCGACGTTCACAGGCAGACTGGTTAAATAAGTGCCTGTGACAACTTGTGATGCTTTCCAGCCTAATTTCCATCCATATTTTTGCCTGGAACATTCTAAATGCGCGGGTCGTCCAGATTTTCGTAATTGGTGCGAGTTGCAACAATACAAAATTCTCTAGCTAGTGCTGCGCATCTTGGTCGTTTCGGTTCTTTGTTGGTCTATACCGAAATGTAATCGACAAGAAAAAAAACTGCTTGAAGCTCTGTACTTTTTTCACCTATTACGTCCAAGCTGATTACATTTTTTGTGATTATATTTCTATTACGTTACTAGAGCCTCGCACACCAACTCCTGAGTGTGCGATGCAAAATTAAAATGAGATACCCAAAAACCCGTTGCAGGCGCAACGGTTTTTTTCGCTGACGCAAAGTTTGAGGAATGTATTTGGAAAAGTATTTGGAAGAGACCAAATACATCTGGTTGTATTTGTATATTGTACTTAAATGCTTTTTTGGATATGTAATTAGATTTGTAATTAAATACATTTTTGACGAAGTATTTTGTATTTGTATTTCGATACATATTTGCATGTATTTTGCCCATCCCTGGGCAGAGCCATATTGCAAGAGCATTTTCTTTGATCTTGGAGAGTAGATCCAGCAAGCTTGGTCATCAAGAAACGAAAACCGCAGATCTAGAAAGTGAAGAGAGGAGTTCGCCGGCAACTCATGCGTAAATTTGAGTCCCTGTGCTTGCTCTACGAGGGTGCTTCGTATGATGTTGGTTACTTCCGTGTCATTCTCATTGGGTCGGTCTTTCAAGAGGACAAGATAATCGTCAAAATATCTAAATATGCAGACACCTGGCCGGTGTTAAGTGTGTCAGCAATGGCCCGGTCGCATTGGGACAAAACAAATGTCTCATAACACGGGTGCCACGCACGAACCTATACATATACCCTTCTTTTGTATATATGTATTGCCATTAAACGTGACAACAGTGGCGGAACGGTAGAACCTTAGACGTTCTAAGAACGATTCCACCTGGATGCCACATTTGCTCTGAAATGATATGGAACCATTGGCCTCGGTACACTCGCTTACTGATGAAAACTGTTTGTTGTGAGGTATAGAATAAAATAAATCTTCCACGTCAAGAGAGAACCCGAAGTGAACCGTCGTAGCATTCTGTTGCAGATATTGGATTACCGCTTCAGAATTTGGCACCAGAAAAGGATCGTCCAGTGGGAGGGTAGACAAGTCACGTAGAAGGAATCGTGGCATCATACCCTGCCAAGACCCTTTTTTCCGTCACAACTACTCGAAAAGGACGTTCTACCTTATGAGTCTTGGCCGTGAAAAGCATATCTAAATGGTCCCTTCTGGCGGAGGTGACGTGCTTCCGCAGTTGTTCCAGATCAAGCCTATGGCACAATTGAGGCGCCCTAGCCTTAAGTGTCTTGGTTTTAAAGCCATGCAACCTGGTAAAGTTCTTTTCAATGGCCACTGTAGCCTTTTCTAGGTAGTTCACCGCGGATGTCACAACAAACACTCCTTCTTTAACTGACACAAGCAGGTTTAGATCATTCGCTTGGAAATACTCTACAATACGAGGAATCCTCATTGTGCTTTCACTGATAGGACCCTTTCTTGACATCAACGCAATCCTCTATACAGCGGGGTCTATCAGCTTCTTGAACCTCAGCCGCAATGTCGTGAATGTTAGAAAATAGATGTACACCTTCCCTCTTCGGCGTAGTGCAATATTTAGGACCCATTTGAAGAACCTTAGTCACTTCCACAGGTAAGGAAGGATCCCCCAGCAACGTCACGCACTCGCCTCTGTGCTGCTTGCCTAGGGCTCGAGGGCTCTTGAGTTGAGGTAAGTAGGACGACTAGAGAAACTCCGTCAGCTTGCTTGCTGTGTCCAGAAAGGCCTTGTACCTTAGCCCTTGGCCACCACAAGGATCCCCACCGCCAGCAATCACCCAGAGGCATGTTCTGTAAAACCGGACTTGCCACCACGTTTCTGAGCACACATTCCTGCATATCCTCCTGGAATGCTGTGCGGAAGGCCTTGCCCAGCCGTATAACCCACTGAGGTCTTATTGCACAACTCCATTCCTGATGGCGAAGGAATAGTACCTTGCCTTGCACGTTGACATAGCAATCACATTAATAAAAAAAGAAACTGAGTCCAGGTGACGCAGTGCTCTTTAGCTCGGAGATAGCAGTTGTTTGCATCGAGTGTGTCCGCAGGGGTTGTTGATGTTGGGAACTGGAATACTGAAGTGATCGCCAAAGGCATTAGCTAGCGACCTCCTCATCGTTGTCAAAGAATGGGCCTTTAATATGGAATTGGGTAACGGAATTAGTCCTTCGTAAAAGCAAAAAAAAAAAAAAAAAGAAAAAACATCTCCTAGAATTGTTTAGGGCAGGGATTTGCCTGACTGGCCATGTCAGAGAAGTACCTCTGGTACGACAATCGTATTTCATTTTTCAGCGTTCTAAGGAGATTCTTGTAGGCAGACAAGTGTTTTGCATCTTGACTTTTAGAGACGCTTCTGAAGAAGCGTTTCGTCCAGGGGTTTCCCCAGGAATTGAAATTTGGGGGGCGGGGGGGGAGTCTAAATTTTTAGGAGGGGAGTTAGGGGGAGGGGGCATTGACAATGTAGAAGTCGCTGCGAATTAAGGGGTGCCTTCAGAAAACAAAGGGGGGGGGGGGGGGTGTAAACCCCCGTACTGAAAGGAAATCAGTGGTTTCGTCTCGCTTGACAGCTGCTTGATCAGTTCATGAAATCCATAGTTTAGATTTCTTGTTTTTTGGAGGTGGGTTTGGTGTATGTACCATCTCTGTAGACAGACAGCCCAAAACTTGTAGAAAAAATTCCATCAATTGTCGTCGGTGAATTTGTTTTTTAGCACGCAGCTCTTAGGCGCCCGTTTCCGGCTTGAGCAGCGTCGGCGTCGCCGTCGGCGTAACCGCGAGGTGCATTATGGGTAAAATTCCCCGCTAAATTTAGCGAAAAATTTTTCCCGCTAAATTTGACGGGTAAAATTTCCCCGCTAAATTTAGAGAAAAAAAATCCCTCGTTAAATTTAGCGGGAAAATTCCCCTGTTAAATTTAGCGGAAAATTTCCCCGCTAAGTTTTGCGGAAAAAACTCTCCGACAAATATAGCGGAAAATTTTCCCCTAAATGGGAGGCGAGCAGGAAAGGAGGAGGAACCATAGCCTTCTGTCCGTACCTTCCCCTCCCCCTCCTCAAGAGCTGCGCTCTGTTTCGGCGTTACGGGGGATTGTAAAGGCCCGTTCACACTCTTGCGACCTCTTAAAACTAAGTTCCTTAAAACCTCTTACAACGAGAGGATACACTGGCGCCATCTATTGGGTAGCAGCGCAAACTTGGCAATCTGGCATATTTTCTATTTCTCTCGAGCATTATCCTTTCTTTCTCGGCTCGAATAACTTTTGTCAACGTTATAAACGAGCCCTTCTTATAGGTATTACGCACATTTGACCTCGGAAATACCGCAAAACCTTCGCTTTTGTGAAGTGCAGTTCCAGGGTCACCGCATAGGTGACGCCAGTGTGTTTTCTCGTCCTAAGAAATTTTAACAGGTTTTAACAAGTCTCGGTCTCTCTCGGTCGTACTCGGTTGCAAGGGTGTGAACAAGTCTTAAACGTCTTTTCTTTTTTTTTCTTCTTTTTTCGAGTGGAGAAAAAAAGAGGGGGAAGGGGGGAGGGGGGGGGGGCGTAAGCTTCCCCCTGGTTACGCCACTGGTAGTTGGTCAAGAGGTCCATACACAGAAACCGAGAGCAGTGGTCACAAAGCGGTCCAGCGTTTCCTGTCCGGCCCCGTTGAAGAGAAGAGCCCGCTTCGATACAAAGCGTTTTCCTGTGCAACCGGAATGCCCGATTGATGAGATACCGGCGTGCTCGGAGTTTGATTAGACAGAAGCGATACGAGCGACCAAAAGAGTCTCCAGAGAGAAAACAAGCTTTGACACGCTCTTCTCGCCTCCACCGCCACCCACAGCGCACACACGCACTCGACCGGGCCCGATCAAACAGAAACCGAATATTAACCGCCGCCGCCGCTCGGAGTGTGCCTCTCTGATCCTAGATGGCGCCACGCTTACTCGCATCTGCTGCGACTTTTTTCGGCCTTTCCTGCCCGTGCAGCGGCGTAACCTCTCGCCGCCCTTTCCACCTGTATCCCCTTTCCCCGATCGCGTGGGGAGCGTCCTCCTCGCCGTTGGGCGCGCGGATTGACAGGCGTGTCCCTCCCTCTCTTCGGCCTCCTTTCCCGTCCCCGAGCGCTGATCGGGAGAGGGAAAGCCCATCGCGGCGGCAATGGAAGAAGCTCGTCCAGGGCGCGTCCTAGTGCTCGCTTCACGGCGCCTATCTGCGGTCGCTGTTTTGCACACCCCTTGTCAACGCCGGCCCGGCGCACAAGCAGGAGCGGTCTTCGACGGCGCTTTCGGATCTCGGCGTGTCGGTCTTGGCTCGTCGTCGTAGCAGCGCCGTGCCTCGTCAATCAGCTCCGGCGGCGTCGTCGTCGTTGCGTGCGCGGCGAGTGTTTGTTGTCGCTCCGATGTGTCACGTGTGCTCGTGCTCGCTTTGAAAGAGCGCGCGCGCGACGACGGCCGCGTGGGATCGTCTGCTCTCCGGCGTCCGCTGTGTTTCGCGCGTGTTTCGGGCGCTGCTGGTGTGACCCCCGCTGGTGACGTCAGTGTGGTGCGTGACCGTGTGTGTACGTCGACATTAACTTTCTGGATAATCACCGGGCTCGTTTCTCTCTCTCTTAGACTGAGACTGTCCCGTCGTCGTCTGCTGCTGTTCGGGCACTTCGATTCGGTGAGTTCAGATCGATTCATGCTTCCGTGCGTTGCCTCCGCGTCTGTTTAGAGCTGGATCACGTTGGACGAGCAGTCCGCAAACCCCGCGAACAGACTCTACGGCGCTTGCGTAGTCACCAACCGGAAACAAACAAAACGAGCCCGTTCGTCAACAGATGTTGCTTACTCGAGCGTGACCGGGTGGCTGGCCAACAAGTTGTTTTTCGTCACGTCTGCGCGACTGGAGTTGATCGAGTGTTAGGTGGTTTAAAAACCAAAAACAGCGCAAAAACACGAACAAGAACGAGAAGGTAAACGAACAGCGCCGTTTGTACGTCGACATTAACTCCAGTGCACTACCTTTTCGTTCTTGTCTGTGTCTTTGCGCTGTTTTTAATTTTTAAACTTTGAAATGCATTCTAGCCCAAACGTCAACGGGTGTTCGGGCCCTGCGCTCACGGCAGCTTTGGAATCCAGTTTTGTTTCCTTTAGGGCGGTCTGCGCGTGCGACGGGGCGCCTCTGCCACGTTTGGCCCACGCCGCGTGACTGACAGCTGCAAAACAATCGGCGGCTTTGCGTTTGCCGCTTCCTGGAGGGACCGGCCGTCTTCGCGAGTTGCGACGCGGCGACCGCTGGGGAAACAGCGCCTCGGCGTGCGTGCCCGTGTCTACGGCCTTGAAAGGTCGGACCGGGAGAGAGGGGCTGCTGTGTTGTCCTCCTCTCCCCGTCGCCCGCTTACTCACCTTCTCAGCTCGGGAGGAGGGACGGTCCTGTTGCAAGATTCATGGGAGGGTTCCCGGTCTTACCGGCTGTTCGGGTTTCAATTTCCAGCCGTGATAGCCTGATGATAACCATTCACCCGGCCGAAAATCTCTCGAGTGTTGTAGGTTTTGAGGGTCTCACTTGGAACTTGTCGCACCCGCCCGTAGCTCCTCCGCTTGTTTGCTGCCGCCGCACCCCCCCCCCCCCCCCCCCCCCCCCCGCGGTTTTCTTTTTTTTTTTTTCGCGTTCTTTTATGGAGAGATCGTGCCGTCCTGCGTGCAGCTCGTGTTCGAAGAACGCGCGCGATTTTCAAATCTGGGCAACGTTAAATAACGCTTCCGTTTCCTCCCCCCCTTTTTTTTTTTTTTTGTTACACATGTTGATTATGATTACTGTCTTCGATGTGCTTGTTTGGGGGTGTAAATAAAAGGCGCGTTTAGAAAACTGGTCCGAACTGAGAAATTCACAACCGACGCCTGTTAGGCCGGGATTTTTCGCTAGTCGGTCGGCTGTGACCATAGAGCGAATACGCTGCGAAAAAGACGCGTTTTTCACCGGGTGGATTTTGCTCAACAGGCTCAACGTCCGAACTCGGGCTCTTACACCGCGTGCAGAGTGATTCGTGCCGCCGGGCGAAGTTCGCAGTAAAGTGGTAGTAATTGGAGCTTGTTGAGTACTTGTTGGTGAGTCAGCGCAGCGCTCTTTCGCTCTAGCTGTTCTTTTTGTTTATTTGTATATACTGGTGCGCTTTTCTAGGCGCTTTACGTGAGTGGAACGTCAATTTCCATAGATGTCATATCGTTCAATATCATATACATTTTTTACCACCTTATACATTTCACATCAATTTGCAAGACCGCGCTGGTTTACATCACGCTACACACGCTATCAGTGTATACCCTAATCGAGAAAGGAACACTTCTTTTACACACTCATAAACATAAATGAGAAGTCGAGTACCATTCAGGTAAACATTTCTCGAATAAGGCTAATGAATCACAATTTACAACACTCTCGGAAAGCTTCTTCCACCTTTCAACTGTTCTAACAAAACATGAATACTTGTATGTGCCATTATGAATTCGCGGAACTGTCATAGCCTTATTGTGTACCCCCCTTACTGGTCTAGTAATACGGGGTTGTAAAAAATGAAAGCCGTTTACAATTCCCTGTAACGCCGGTTAGAGCGCAGCTCTTGAGGAGGAGGATGGAAGCGTACTGAGGGAGGGGGGGGGGGGGTCGTGTGACGTCAGGGGGGTCACGTTTCCACCGGGGGGAGGGGGAAACGGTTACGCCGCTCAAGCCGGAAACGGGCGCCTAAGAGCTGCGCTCTAAAAATGAGATGTTTCCACATTTAGTAAGTCTTTTGAAAACTTATAAAGAAGCTTTATCCTCGATATCTCTCGGCGGGTGTGAATAGGTTAGAGACGGAGCTGTTCGAGCATGCTACAAACGGAGTTCATTCGGTAGTATCTCGGAAGGATGAAGCGAGCATTGTATTTTTTCCAATTTTTCGATCCGATTCTGTCGGTACTGATCCCACACCACGCAGGCATATTCTAAAGTAGGCCGTATAAATGTTGTGTAGGCAGTCAATTTTACCTGATTTCTGGTAAGGCCTAGGTTTAGCTTCAAAAATCCTGACTTTTTTCGAGCCGTACTGCACAAATTATCGATGTGGCGATTCCATGTGAGGTCTGCTGGTATCGTAACTCCTAAATACTGAAAGTGATCAACTTGAGGTATGGGATCGTTTCCAACTTTATATGTGTAAGGGAGGTATGTTAACTTTTTTGCTGGTGGTACAATTTTATCTTAATTAATTTTCATACCCCATTTTTCACACCATTTCTTAACAGAGTTGAAAGACGTCGAGTTAGGGTTTTCTTGACCCATGGGGTTGCGTATACTTTAGTAAGAGAGCAAGCTGTCGTCCGCAGACATTTTAGATGTAACGTTAGGGCTGAGTTCATTAACGATATCGCTTATCTAACATAAAAACAAGACTGGACCCAGTACCGATCCTCGCGGGACCCCCGATGGAACCCCGCGAGTGGTCGACACTGCTCCGCTGATAGCCACAACCTGTGTTCTGTTTCTAATGCTCCAGTCGTACTGGAGCGACGAGCAGCCTCTCGGTGCTCGTGAATTGTGAGCACGAGTGATTGCAAGCCTCCCAACGAAACCTTCGAGTGCATGTTGGACGTGTTGGAGGCTTGTCGGTGTCGGCTGTTTCTGTTTGTCGCTCTAATGGGACTCGGACATGATAACGCGAACGTCCATTTCCGCACAGACCGCTGTACGAGGCTGTTATACAATAGTCGGGACATGTATGTGTCCATTATAGCGTTACGATGGACCGCAAAGGACGCTACGAGCCCCAGGAGTCAGTTCATAGCTCGGAGGGCGTCACGTGTCCTTCCGGTTGGGCGGAGCGACGCGGGGAGCGCGAAGTCACGAGACAAGCTAGGAGCTACGGATTGGCCCGTGTAGCTTGTAGCGTCCATCACGGACGCTACAAGCACTAGGCAGGCGGGACGGGAGGGGAGGGCACTTGAGGGAAGAGAGGGAGAGCTCTAGCTATAGTCGGTTGTAACTCAAGAAGATAGTGCAAGGGAAAGGAAGGCCGGGGGAAAAGGAAGCGGACGGAACGCTGGAGAGAGGAGTAGGTTTCCCCTTCTCTCCAGCGTTCCGTCTGCTTCCTCCTCTCCGGCCTCCCTTTCCCTCGCTTTAGGTTCTTGAGTTGCAACCGACTTTAGTGACACGGGGTATAAGGTGGCTGACTCCCAGTGTGCTTCACAGCCACACGAGTTCGGATGTGCTGACACGTCAAATTACTTCCCTTTAGGCTCAGCGGATCGCTTATGGACAAACAGACTCCTACGGTCGCAACTTCTTTTTCATTTCTTTTTTAGATCCTTTTTTTTTTTTTGGGGGGGGGGGGGGGGAGGGGTACAAAAGGTACGTACAAGAAGTCTGAGATGCAGCAGGTTTCCCTGCAGTCTGCTTTCTAGGAGGCAGCGTTTCTCGTTTTCTCTTGGTTCTTGACACTCCTTCGTGGTAGGTTTGCTCGAGTGGCCACGTCTTTACAATGTGTACCGCAGGCATGGCGGGCGATCCTCAAGCACCGGGCACGTCCTATTTTTCTTGCTCTAATTAGATACAACAACCGATCGAGGTGTTCGCCCCGACTTCACAGTGCCTGTCTCAGCGCCTGCCCGCTTCAGTCTGGATTAACATCGTACCGGCTTGCGGTCGTGTTCACTACTACGTGCAGCGCGCATTAAAGACTTGCTGCACTGGATAAATGTCTGATCTGCAGTGGGCAACAATGTCACCATACTCTGGCAGACTAAACTCTTGCTCTCTAAACAAGCAACGACTAATTCGTTTCACACTGCCTGCTACACTGCTACGTACGCGGACCGTACGAGCCATCGGTACGAGCCATGTTCCCCGACCGACGGAGAGCAACCCGACACCCCCGATTTCGCAAGCGGGGCCCCGGCGGAGTTTCCCTCTCCCGTCTCTCTCCTGGCTGAAACATAAGCAGCAGCGGATCACCGACGCTCTTCGGCACGCAGAAGATGCTCTGTGCTGGTTTTGACTTGACGCCTTTCTTTCGCTATAATAAACACAGTTAACCGCACCTTGACTCAGCCACCGTCACTCATAAAGTAGTCACTTCAATGGCGACGAGAACAACGATATCGAAGCCCTCATCCAGATGCCCAACATCTGACAAGGCAAGTCCCGACGGTTTGTGATTTCTTCTCGGAAAGAACTCTAAAGTGAAAGAAAGATGGCGACTATCGGCACCGCCCCAGCGTACGACGCGGAAGTGGAGCCATGGGCGAACTACGCAGAACGCTTGGAGCAGTTCTTCGTCGGTAATCGGATTATCGACGACAAGCAGAAGACCGGGATCTTTCTGTCTTGCGTAGGACCGAAGACCTACGGGTTACTTCGAAGTTTATTGACTCCCATAAAGCCAAGCACAAAGACCTTCGAGGAGCTCCTGGGGACCCTCAACCAACACTTCTCACCGAGACCATCCGAAATAATGGAACGGTATAAGTTCAATAGCCGCTCCCAGCAAAAGGAGGAAACTATTTCGGAATTTCTGGCAGCTCTCCGGAAACTCACCGAGTTCTGCAACTTCGGCGACACCCTCGACGTCATGATCCGGGATCGACTGGTCTGTGGTGTGCGCGATGTAGGAGTGCAGAAGAGACTGCTGGCAGAGTCAGCGCTGA